CCCCCTTTGTCACTTGACACCTCTCTCTCTCAACCCCCTTATATTGGCATGAGTTTCTCCATTATGGCACTGGGTCCAACACAACCCCCTTATTTGTCACTCCACTTCTCTCTCTTAGTATGACACTAGGTCCCACACAGCCCCTTATTTTGTCACTTCACCTCTCTCTCTCTTTCTCACTCTCTTCCTCCCTCCCTCCCCATTGGGTTCTCCATTATGACATATGCTCTCACTGGTTCACCTCTCTCTCTTTCTCTCTCTCACAACTCCCCATGTATTTCATGTGTTTCCCCATTATGACATCAGGTCCCACACAACCCCTTGATTTGTCACTTCACTTCACTTCACCTCCTTCCCCCCTCTCTCTCAAATATGAAACTCCATTAGGTGACACATGGACCATAACTCCCACTTTCTCTCTCAAATATGACATTAGGTCCCATTGAGTTCCACACAACCACCCCTTTTCATCACTTCACCTCTAGTCCATGTCGCTTACTTCTCAACCCCAAAATAGATACCATTCTCTCAGTGCTCATGCTATCCACGTTAGTCTTTAAATTCCATGAAAGTCATGTTCTAGACGTCAACCATTGAAATTTGGCTTCATGACATTTGATGGAAGTGGAAGTGACTATATTATGTGTACATGAGTGTCACAATTTATCTGACTTTGTTAACCTAAAAAATAGAATGCAAGCAAGGATGAGGCCTTCTGTCTTGGTGTAATTGATGCTGGGAAGGAAGGTGAAGAGTAATCTAGAGGTTGAAGACAATGAACTCATAACGTCAGGGGGTGGTAAGTAATTTCGACAAGAGGGGGAATCGTTCCATTTATTGGTGACCACATGCTCACCAAAGTTGAGGAGAGGGGAGAAGCCGAAGGGTTGGAGGGCTTCTTGGGTGCTAGTAGCATTATTCCATATTTGATCTCGAGGGGTTAAGATGGACAGGTTGGGGCCACCCCCTATTTGGTAATGTTGTTGATTCATTCATCCTAATAGAATATCTTCTTAAAAAGCAATTAAAATGATAAAATCATTATGTTTTTGTGTGAGGACTAAGAGTTTAAGACCCTATCATGAACTTGTTTGGGCTTGCCTCGAGGGGCATGGCATGGGGGTTTGGGGCCGGAGCCCTCAACCCAGTTGCTAGGTTCAAAAAAAGCAAAAAAGGTGTTAAATTTTCAAAAGGTGCACCAGGCGTGCACCTTTGGAGAGGGCCGCGCCTAGGACCTAGGCGAGGCACCTACCCTAAAATGCGCATCGCCTGTGCGTCTAGGCGCGCCTTTTAAATCACTGTTCTCGCCTGTTGGCAACAATCTGTGCTATTCCCAAGGTTCAAAGTATCGAAAATGCAAGGTGTATCGGAAAGGTAATTTTAAGAAACATATTGAGATATGCTTTGGAAACACATAGATACAGAGGAAAATCAAGATACACATGGATACACTAGAAAATCCAAAAAATGTAAAAAAACATATTGACAGCAATAAAAACGAGTTTTATGTGATTATAACTAACTTATTTAAACACAAAAACCATATTTAATGATTTATATAAAGTAGTAACATAATTAGTAATTGTTGAAAAATAATAGAAGAACTAAAATGTACGTGTGTGTGTATATATACTAATATTTATTAGTTAATATTTTTTTTGAAGTCATTTATTAGTTAATTTTTAATAGATAAATATAATTTGTTTTAATCTTATTATTATATAAGTTTTAATAATCAAATTTAAGCATTTATTGGGAAATATTCACCAAGAGAATAAAGATTACATTAAGAATCAAAATACATGAGATAAGCAATTAAGGTTGGCATAGTGATTAGTTAATTGTTGTTGTAAATAATGACTAGGGTTCGAAACTTCTTACCTCCAACTTACGATTTTTAATAATAACTTAATTAGCATTTAATGACATCTTAAATGCCTTAATTAAAGGTTATTCAAATGAGTATTTAATTAAATAATATTAGCATTTAATGACGTCTCGAATTTAAAGGCTTAATTAAAAGTGATATAAATGAGAGAGAGAAGAGATAAATTAAATTTACATTTGAATTGAAATGTAGAAAGAAAGGAAAATTAAATTTGGCTGATACGCAGTGCATATCGGTCTGTTTCGGGATTGTATCAGCCTATACATATCCGAAACAGTCTGGTACGACTGAAAAAATATGATACCATCTATTTATATATGTCCCGTGTATCCGATGTCTCCCAAAATGATACATATCGGCTGATACGGGCTGATATGTTGTGAAATCTTAAACCTTGGCTATTCCTCCTGATGGTGTTCATTAAATTGAATGTGGTGCTTCATCCAAAGAGATAGCTGTGAAGTCGGGGGAATCTTGTCTCGATGGTGTTTTGGTTAAGCCGTTTAAGGGTAGAGATGGAGGTGTCGATTTGGGTGGGGGTGGTTTTAAAGGAGTGGAGAAAGGGAAGGTGGGTGGCTTTGGGGGTGGGGTGGAGTCGTGGAGAGAAATATTGTGGATAAGGAAGGAGATAAGATGAAAAGAAGTGGTAGGGGGGAGATAGTTGTTTGTGGTGGTGGTTCGAATTCCATTTGTGCCAGTCTGGTTTTGGATAAGGAGCTTCCTGAGAGTAGAGAAGACCTTTTAGTTGATGAGGTGCTAGTTGGAAAACTGGGAACAAGGCTCATATTGTTCACGTTAATAAGGTTTTCCCATGACTTAAAGATGGCATCGTTGGGGTTGGGCCAGCTAATAAACTTAAAAAGACTTGCAAAAGAAAGGGAGTCAAATCCAAAGGACAGAGATCTGATTTTCAGGCTGGGGATGGCCAGAGTTTGAAGGTTTTGGACTGGAAGTCGGATCCTTTGGTGATCCCTTCAGATGAAGAAACATTTAAAAATGGAGGATTGGAGGACTCTAGGACAGAAGATAAGGAGGAGAAAGAAGTGGAGCCAAAGGAGAAGGAAATGAAGCAAGGAAGCATTGATTTCAAGAAGCTTGTCGATAGGGAGTAGAGGTTGGCAAATCCTTGGGGTTGTTCTTCTTGGGAGGTGAGCCTTTTGTTAGAAGATCTTTTGAGTAGTTTGAGAAGAAGAGGAAGGAAGAGAGTCTTTCGAAATCTTTAAAAGGGGAAGTGGGAGAAATCTGGAACGAGGAAGGAGGAGAGGAAGATTTTTATGTTGATGAGGAATAACTGTCAGTGTCAGGGATCTGTATGGACGAAATTGGAGGACTGCTCGTGGGGTCCCTGCTGTCGCTCAGTTTGTTTCTGTTTTGTTTTTAGTTTTGCGTGGGTGAGATGTTTTTGGTGAGTCGTGCCTTCTTGGCACCGATGGAGGATGTATCGAGTTTTTTATTTTCTTTAATAAATATTTTCCTTTTACTTATCTTTGACTCAGTAGAACTTAATTTTTTTCATCAGTGGGTATAATTTTATTAATAAGCTTCATATTGTATCTCAGGGCTACCAATATGCAAGATATAAAATTAGTAGAATTATAGTTGGAAAAGAAAATACATTAATATTAAAAGCACAAATCAATTTAAACAGCACTAAGCAATTAAGATAAGTGATTGTAAATATTTTAAGACATGGAGGCATTCTGCTATCCAGGGTTCAAAATATCTATACGATACGCCCTGTATTGGGTGTATGATATTGTATCTCAGGGCTACCAATATGCAAGATATAAAATTAGTAGAATTATAGTTGGAAAAGAAAATACATTAATATTAAAAGCACAAATCAATTTAAACAGCACTAAGCAATTAARATAAGTGATTGTAAATATTTTAAAACATGGAGGCATTCTGCTATCCAGGGTTCAAAATATCTATACGATACGCCCTGTATTGGGTGTATGATATTGTATCTCAGGGCTACCAAT